TCTTTTCCCTTTTCTATCTCTTTCTCTCAGCTATCTCTGTAAATGAGTGCATATATGGCTGGAACTAACCACTGTTTTTGCACCTGTTCTCTAACCTGCAATCAGTGATAGTACCTAAGCCCAGTCTTCTACACCACCTGTTCCTAGATTTTTGATCTACAACAGTGGGATTGCTGCTCAGGCAATTTATGATTCAGCAATTTAATTTACTTGCTTGTTTGTTTTCTTTTAATGGCCAGATGAGCAGTGCTTACCTCTCATTCTTCGTTGTGAACCCTGTTTGGTGTGCCAGCTAGAAGTCCATCCCGAATGTCTGCCTAATCTACTCTGTCACACACTCTTCAGAAATATTTTGAATTTTCTCTAAACCATACAGGTTCAAATATATACACATGTCTCCCACTAATCCCCTTCTTCCGGCTTCTCCCTTTAGGGGTCGCCACAACATGTCATTTGCCTCCATTTCAGTGTGTTCCACACACACATTTCAACCTATTTAGAGTTATTTATCCATCTAACAGTGTCTCAGAGGCTGTCTGTGATTTTGAGTATGGATATATAAGTATGGGAAGCGCAAATATTTATAGTTTGGAAAAAATGATGTAATTCCACCTCAGGTCATATGTGCGTAAGCTGCTATTTATAACTCTTGACCTTTCTCCCTCGTTCTCACACATACACGCAGTAAAGGTAACAGTCCCAGACCCTGACAATGACTAACAGGAGGGACAAGGTGTGTCAGATTTTCAAAATAAAACTTTCTTATTGGAAGATTAGTATGCTTTAAAAATGTGAAATGTTCAAAATAAAAGCCCTCAGTTACAAAAAACGTATCTCTGTGTGATTTTTTTTAATACAAGATAAGTATGTTTTTAAAATAATGTAATTTTGCAGCCCTAAGTCACAGCATTGGATGAAGTTTGAGCAGCAGCAACTATCCCTAACTATTATGCAACAAATTACATAGTCTTGTGAGCATGGTTCCACACTCTGCGAGTGGAACATATCTTTGTTTGGTTAATAATTTTGATGCATACTTAACAATATTCCAACCTGACAGGTTTTTCTAAGTAATTGTTTTTCGCCAAAACCTTGTCCTGATTCAGAAAGTAACATCCAACTGCAGCAACTTTCTTCATATAATGAAATTCCTGAAGCTAGAATAGTGGTTCCATTTCAATTGTCTTCACATGTGCTCCCCAGACATAGCATTTTAATTTAAATTACCACTGTTATCTAGGTGATACAATTGTATAACTATATTTGCATATTCCCTCAGATTGATATCTTTCTATGTGTTTGATCCCTGTCAGAAGACAGAAGTTGCAGGTAAAGAGCAAATGTCTAGCTAAACAAATTAAGACACATGTAGCAGATCTGAGTTGTCAAGATCTGCTGCAGCAGATGGTGAGAAGTGGAGAGTGAGAACACAAATGCAGACAATGGAAGCAGGGAGTAGCTTTAACAAAAGACAAGCTGCTTATTCAGGCTGATTGACAAACACAAAATAAGAAATCCAACTAAACACTTGGGACATAGAGACACAGGTAGGTTAACAGACGCTCCAACAAAGGAAGACAGAAAAATACGCAAGGGAGAATGAGACAAGGGAAACAAAACTGGACATCATGCACATGAGACAAGGATTAACAAAATAAAACAGGAGGTTTCACAAACTTGACACTAGGATGGGGATAAGCAAACAGGAACACACGAGAGGCTGAGGAGACAAGGATGAAACACAAAGAGAGGAACATAGGAAAAGGTAAGGGAGACGAAACACAGAGTCAGACAGGGACACAGAAGGAGATCCATAACATAGAGACAAAATACTAAGGACATGATAGAAAGGGAAATGCTAAACAACCTAAAATAAACCATAATCCCTCGAGATAAAACATAATCAAAGCCAGAAACAAAGAAAACTAAACTAGGAAATATAATCAAGATCAAAACAACAATAAACAAACACAGAACAGAACTATGACAGTTTAGACTTGGGCCTAAAAATATATTCATCTGTGTTATAAAAACATCTTGCACAGACCTGCTAAGCCTAAAGGCAAGGGGTTTTTTAAGCTAAAAATGAGAACAGCACATTTATCAATCTACTTACATGAGATTTATGGGAGGTGAAAAAATGGCTGGATTTCATTTGTCTCTTTAGTCATTAATCATAATATGCATTAAAATGCTCAAGGCAAGATGTAAATATATGATATAGAAATTACTGTGATGCAATTTTTCCTTCTACTTTTTTTTTTTTTTTTTTTGGCTGCTGCCTTTAAGGGTCACCACAGCGGCTCATCTGCCTCAAAATCACCGTGTCTCTATAATCCTCCCTTTTCACATCAGCCCTCTGCATGTCCTCCTTCACTACATCTATGAATCTTCTCTGTGATTTTCCTATTTTACTCCTTCATGCCTGCTAACAGTATATCCATTGTCCCTGCTCGGGATGCCCAAACCACCCCAGCCTTGCCTCTCTGACCTTGTCTCCTAAATGCTGAGCTGCGATGTACTCAGTTCTATTCTGTCAGTTCTCATCAGTCACCATCAAAATCTTAGCATTTTCAACTTTGCAACCTCCAGTTCTGCTTCCTGGTCACTGCCATCGTCCAAACCATATGCCATAACAGGTCTTACTATCATCTTGGAAATCTTTCGCTCTTGCTGCTATCCTCCTGTCAAACCCCTCTCCACCCACTCCACACTGTCGCCATGCTCCTCTTCCTCTCTCTTATGCACTCTCTGTTGCTTTGGAGATTTGACCATGGATATTTAAATGTTTCCACTTTCAGAAATTCTATTCCTTGTACACTTTTGTGCTGCTTTTTGAAGGTGAGATGTTGTATTAGAGTAGTTTGCTTTTATGGTGTAAAATTTGATATGTCCCTGCGCGGGATGCCGTGGTGTCCACATCTATGTAGTCAGAGGAGACATGCTGCACATGACTGATTATGCCTCGCAGGTATAATATTATATAGCACTAGATAGTGTAGAGGGAAGACTCAAACACGCAGCTAAGAGGCCAAATAGACGGCATAAGACCGCACAACCATCTCTGTGTTCTGGGTTTAACTCATGACTGTGTCAGCTTATAAAGCATCTGCCTCCTTATGCTTTTGTTAGTTGTTATATATGTAGCCATTCTGTGGTTGCACCATGTATGTTTAAGAATAGTGCTAAAGGGATGTGTTAAATGTAGCAAGAATTGTCCATAAATGGTCCATAAATGTTGGGAATGAGATCAGGTTTCTTGATATGAATCAAAGCAGCAGGCTAAAGACAACTTACCACAATGCTGTTCACTGAACAGTATCGACGTGTTTCTTTCAGTTCACTCAGCACCTCCATACAAACTTTTTTTCTATTATAAAGCTTGAATTCAAAAACAGGAAAATTAGTTTGTTTTTGTGTAAATACAGAACTGGTTTATTCACATGAAATACCCCTGAATATAATGGTAAACAGAGTTTATATAAAAGGCACATTTGCAATGATTAAAATTACAGCTAACTGTCCATGCTATGATGGACCGCTGTTTTTTGCAAGCACACCAGTGTATTTTACAAATCATTGCAATCCTCAGTGTCCTGCACTGTTTATTACAAAAAATAGCAAACAGTACTGAATACAAACTAAAATATGTAATGTCCATAAAAAATATGCATTACTGTAAGTGAACCACAGTTTATATCACAGAGACTTTTTGTTTTGTTTACGTTTGTTTATGTTTTTAAAAATTTCACTCAGTGGTTTTCTGAGGAATCAGCAGACAACCTTAACACTGAAAAGAGCAGATGTGAGGCATGTGTCTGTCTTGTCTACAGAACCTTAAGTAGCACCTTAAAAATTTAAGATTCACCACAAAGCTTCATTTATTCTGGATACTATTTAGTTTAGTTATAAAAAAAATAAAATGGATAAACTGGATTTGCAACACAGGCTGTCAGTGCCACACAATGCAAAAGCAAACCAATCGTTTCTCACATCAGGCCAGTGCCAGAACAACAGTTTACCTCTGCTCAAGCTGAATAAAAGGCTAGAAATTGCTTTTGTGAGCAATTACATTATTATAGTAATGCATCATTTCCTGGCTGGTCCTGATTTTTCTTTTAAAGAAATGACTTGCAGATCATTTTCCGAGGGGCTAAATGGCCCGTGGATGAGGTCAAAGGAGAGTGAAGCAGTAAAACCACTAACCCAGTTTCACAGGGCCAGCCACACACATGTATGTACAAAGCCAATTCCAAAAGGTAAGTACATTGTGTTAAATCTAAATAAAACAGAAAGTAATGATTTATACATCTTACAAACCCATATTTTTATTTGCAATACAATATAGGACATATCAGCCCTTTAAACTCAGAAAATGTACCTCTGTAAGAAGGTTGGCTCATTTTGAGTTTGATGCCAAAAACATGTCTCAAAAGGGTGGGACAGGCAACAAAACGCTGGAAAAGTAAGTGGTTTTTTAAAAAAAATAGCTGGGTTAATTGGCAACAGGTTACAAACATGACTGAGTGTAAAAGAAGCTTCTTGGAGCTGCAAGTAAACATGGTCAGAGGTTCGTCTATCTACAAAAAAAAAAGTCTTCAAGTTGTGGAACAATTTCAGAATAGATATTGTCAGTGAAAAACTTTGAATATCTCATCATTTTCAGTAAGTTAATTATCTGTTGTGCGAAGAAGGAATCATATGTGAACGTGACCCTAATGTACCAAAGCTAAGATAAAATGGACTGAGGTAAAGTGAAAAAATTCAGAACACTTTGAAATACGTTTTTGGAAACATGAACATACGTCATGTCCTCTGAACTAAAGAGGAAGGAGGAATATCAAGCTTTTTATCAGCACTCAGTTGAAAGCCTGCATATCTGATGGTCTAGATATGTATCAGTGCCTATGAAATTGGCATCTTGCACAGCTGGAAATGCTTTATCAATCCTGAAAGACATATCAAGGTTTTAGAGTAACGTGTGCTCCACCAAGATTACGTGTTTTTCAGGGAAGGCCTTGCATGCTTCAGTAAGAAAATGCTGAACCACATACAGTACCTGTTTCAGCAGCATCGTGGTAGAAGAGTGTAGATGTTGAACTGACATGCCTGCAGTCCAGGCTTTTCACCAACTGAGAACATTGGGAGCATCATGAAGTATATGGCAAAGAAGACCCAGGACTGCTGAGCAGCTATAATCCTCCATGAGACAAGAACGGGACCACGTTCCGCTCTCCTCAGCTCCCACACATTTACAGAATGTAGTGAAAAGAGGAAGGGACACTACAAAGATGTAATTATGCCCCTAAGTTTTCTGAGATGTGTTGCTCCCATTAAAAATACCTATTTCTTAAAATGGTACATTTTCTCAGTTTAACCATGTTTTGTATCTTCTACTTTGAATAATTTCTGGGTTTATTTGCAAATCATAATTCTCTGTTTTTATTTACATTTTTCACAGTGTCCACAGTTCTGTAAAGCTGGATTTGTACATGTTTATATATACAATGACAACACACATTTGGGGACAGCTGAGGGGGAATTTAGTTAAAGCAATTTTTCTCAGAACTAAACTGTGGTTGAAGTTACTACTTAGGAAAACCTTTACATTTTTATTCATTTTTTATTCTACTCAGAGAAAAATTTCTTTTTAAAAAAAACATATCACAACTTGTAGCGGCCAGTCCTCTGTACAATCCATGCAGCATTTGGTGAGATACTTGAACCTGCCATCTGTAGAGCTATTCTATTAGCACAGCTATAACCACTTCTTATAACCACTTTTCCAATTAGTAGATTACCTGCTCTACCTCCCGAGATGTAGCCATCCCTAAACATACATGGTCAGATATACACATATATACCACATGACCAGAATACAGTGAATCTGACCTGGGACTCTTTGCTGCATGTCTTCCACCCTCTCTCTCTTTGCTTTCCTATCTGTCTCCACTGTTGCTATCAAATGGCAAAAATATGGCTCTGCAAGCAGAGGAGTTGCTCCCTGCTGAACATCACATCCACACTGACTTCCCTCTTCAAACCAGGAAGCTACATCTATCATTTTTAGATGCAATCTGTGGTTGTAAGCCAACAAACAATATAGTCGGTGGCTCCAGTAGGTGTGTATGGTTAATGAACAGCTAACACAACAGGAGAATACTCTTAAATATTTTTAAAGCGTGTAAATAACTCGGAATCCTTGAAAGTGAGTTTGAAGATTTCAATCAAATCAAAACTACACATTTTTTGTTGTTGTTGTTGTTTGTTTGTTTCTACCACTGACGCAACTCATCAATAATGCCAGACTAATGTAAGAAAGTGTTTGCCTTAATCCCTTAATTACAACTATTCAAACACTCAAAAGAACAGTTTATGAGTGTGTGGGTTTTGAATACTCGGTGCATGAGTACTATGAGTTATCATTTTAAGCAGTTCCAGAAAGTTAATTCTGTTTATCTGGATGTAGAATTTTCAGTGGGAGCTTTGTTCATCTTCCAAGTGACTTCTTTTATCATTGATCAATAGCCATGATACCATTTACAAAGACGGGCCTGGGAAACAGAAGAACATGACATCAAGAAGGCCCTGAGTAAATGTGGTTATCTCAGCTGGACATTTGTCAAAGCTGGGAAGGTGCTTAAAGAAAGCTCCAGCCGATCCAGGAGAGAAGACAGACAACTGCTGCCTAAGCAAAAACCCTTAGTGAACCCTTATGTGTCACGAGTATCGGAACAGCTGAGATGCATTTTCCCAAAACATCATGCCAATTTGCATGATAATGACCAACTGACCTCACAGCCCATTGTTAGCCACTGGTGCCAGTTTTAGTCATTATGCAAACGTACTGTTTATAAGGTTGGGGAAGCCTGCAGTCAGCTGAGATGGGGGGATATAAGCTTGGATCTGAAGTTTTTATTGAACTGACACTAACAATTTTAACTAGCTTTCTCCAGATTGTATTCTGACACTGACAGAAACATTTCTGGCTCTGCAAAAGGCAAATACAGACACTTCCTTTAGAGTCAAATTCATGAAATCTATCAGATTGAATATAGCCAAAACATCTTGAGTGTTTTGTATGGGAAATTTAACAGAAAAATTGATCTGTAAAAGTAATGCAGATGTAACTTATTTGGACAGAGAGGCAGAGCAGCCAAAGAAATCCATGCCGATGCTCCGGGGATAGCCTTCCAGTACCTTCAGTGCCACAGGGTCAAACTTCCAGTAGTGCATTCCACTCAGGAAATTGGCATAGCCTGTCAAAGGGCAAAAGAATGCAACAGTGAACTCCAGATGTACATGTTAAAACTTTCTCTAGACCTACAAGTCACTAAGTCAGAGGCAGAGATTACACTCCTCACCATATCTGTCCAAGAAGGCTCCATCGATGTGGCTGGGCATTCCCCTCCACTCGTAAATGCTGCGAGGGTGTAAGTCATTAATTCGATTATCCTGAATATTGAAGGACCAGTAGTAACTCGACTTGAAGAAGTAGACTTTCTCAGTATGGTCCTCTTCCCACTTCAAAGCTGCTTCAATGTCTGTTACAGGAAGACCCAGCCGTCTCACTGAATCTGGCCCTGTTATCTTCCTTTCAGCATCAAAAACCCAGTAGCTGTCACCTGATAAGTAATAATTAAAATTAATTAATTAATTACAATTAATAAGTCACCAGGATGTTGTTTCTAGAAATCATCCCAGCTGAATACATGTAAAGCACATCCTTGTGAAAAAGTACAGCCATGTAACAACAACATTCAAGGCTACATATTTCTACCATAAACTCGTGTGTCACTGTGGTGAAGATTATTATTTTATTTAACCTTTTTCCTCATGTTCCCACGGTTCCCCAGATTTACCTCATTTCCTCTCTTCACTTTCTCATCACTGATTGGCTCCTGAGTTTCTTTCTCCCTTAACTGAACTCACCAGACACACATTTTATAAAGACTTCACTCCCTTTCACTCACTATTTTAACTTCCACGTGGCAGTTAAGAATTTTACAGTCCATGTGTATCTTCCTTTAAGGTAAACTACATTTGCAAAGTCATTGATAGCTGTTTTCTTTACATTCTGACTGCCTAACAACTTTAACTTTCAGCTTCCTAATTAGCAATCCCTACATATCATTAAAGTTATCAAATCACTTTTGCTTGACTAGTTTTGAGGAACAAAGGATATTTTGTGGAAAATACTTGTTTAATGTGTCCCCCAGAAAAAAACTGTCTAGTTCGCGTCTGTACCTTGGAAGAACCAGATGTTGCCAGACTTGTCTTCAAACGCAGCATCAATGTGTTCTGGAATTCCTTTCCAGTGGCGTGATGATAAAGCTGGATAGCCAGCTTGTAGCTGCCCATCACGTATTCGCCAAATATATTGAGACTTAAAGAAGAAGAGCTCTCCCCTGATCATGGATACAGCATCAAAGTTTGTTTTGCAAGCATTTGGCTGGAACACAGCAACAAACTTAGTCTGAATATTTTTGTCTATGAACTATCATGCAAAGCAGCAAAATACAGAATGGCTTATATTTTTCTAAGTAAATACATGTATTTTCAAGGGCCTCACCAGTTCAGTCTCAATCTCATTGGTCTCTGTCATCACAGGTGGCGCATGCCGAGGGGATCCGTACAGATACTGAATGCCCCTTTTGTCATCCTCACTCAGCTGCAGAGGGTAAGCGTCACTATAGAATGGGCACATCACAGCATCGGGCTCAAGGGAGTGCTGCAGGCCCAAAACGTGGCCAAACTCATGAGCTGCCACTTGGAGGAGGTCTGTGCCTAAAAAAGCAAACAGAGGAGGGCAGTCAAACTGAGAGTAGTTATTTTTGGTTCCAATCAGCTCAAAGCTTTTCAAATGTACTTACCAGCATTATTGCCCACTGTCCAGTGCTCATCATAGTCAAAGTGGACTTCTCCCTCTCTCTGTGTCTGGGGGAAATAGGCGTGAGCAAGGATTCCTCCTGGACCATCGAATGGTAAGTTGTCCCCATGCCAGTACCTACACAATTACTTCTTTTAGAGGACGAGGTAAACCTACCACATATCATTCTTTTGATGCTCTTTCTCTATGCTAAGCATGTTGCAAATTGAGTACAGTGTAACTCTTAATTCTGAGTATTAGTTCTAAATAATACACATCATTCAGTGACCCTTATACACATCTAATTGGCAGTGTTGTGCAGATACATAAATCAACAATCTTCCTCTGTGTGTGTGTGTGTGTGTGTGTGCGTGCGTGCATTCTACTATACTTGTGAGAACCAACAGTCACTTGTGAGGACACACTCACCGGTCCTCACCAGTTTGAAGGCCTTTTTGAGGCTCAAAATGTGGTTTTAGTGTCAGGGTTACAATCAGGTTGTGGTTAGGTTTAGGGTCAGGGTTAGGCATTCATTTTTAATGGTTAGGGTTCACCCAACTGCTGAACGGCAGTGCTCATCCACAAAAATATTTTGAAGCACAACATTTAATGCATTGCCACTCCCTGAAAAGGTTCATTTTGTTGTCATATGGTAATAATGAGAACTGCTTGTGTCCTAAATTAGTTTGCTTTTAGTGATATTGGTAAATGCTAAATGGACTGGTTTCAGTTATTGAGTCATCATGTTCAGGACTCTGAAACAGATTCTGCGAGGCATGAAGACATGTGTAAGAACAAAATTAAATATTTATTTTACTTTCACAATAAGACATGACTGGTATAATTAAATATGCCAAAAAGTGAGGGGAATGTCTGCTTGTAGAATTATACTTGGATTGCATTATTTAGCTAGAAGAAATGATACAATGGTCAAACGACTTTTTATGTGGACTTGTTGACTAGTTGAAATTTCAGTGGACCAACGTTTCTGTAAGAAAACTATGTAGGACATGCTTTGACATTAAAGTATGTCAATAAGCTACATATTAGGCACATGATGCAATTCTACGCTGCACCCAGTAAACTAGTGGCTAGCCTATTTTAATGTGTACAAAGTATGTTATACAAAAAATGGTCGCGTGATAGATTTTAACTGAGTACATAATATTAAACACAATATAGCAGTAGTTCTAAAAATGACTCATGAAAGTAACATGTACACAAGTTAGAACTTGAATTGCTGACAAAGTGAAGTGTGGCAGGACGCTGAAAAAGAAGAGAGCTGTTATGACATTGTAAGTATCATGAATCTGATGCCAAATGACTCTTCTGATTTGATACAATATGTAGCCAGAGGCATGCTATTAAAAATCCCACCAAACAAGTCCTATGTTGCATTTGTTCCATAATCCTCTCTCAGTCTTGGCTGGGAGACATCTGGTTTAGTGTTTCCTGGTTTACTATGACAGCAGGAGTCATGCCTAAGATTTGTGCCTGGGTCTTTAAAAAAAAGTTGATTCTGTTCATCTGGGCGTAGCGTTTTCGGTTGGAGAAATGTTTCATCCCTCATCCAAGTGACATCTAGTCTCAGCTGACTGCAGGTTTCCCCAACCTTTTAAACTGTACATTTAAATAATGACTGAAACCAGCACCACTGGCAAACACTGGGCTATGATCCAGAAACTGACCTCACAGCCCATTGTTCGCCATTGGTGCTAGTGCCAGAGAGTAAAAGGTCTTTTATGTTTGAACTGATAAAGAGTGCTATAACAGACCTTATCCATATTTGCTAATAGTAAATCATCTTTATTCCTAACTAAAGATATAATCCAAATATAAGTTTGATTAATGAAAACTATTCTAATGTCCAGATTGTGTCTGCACAGCCATGATCCAGGTTTGACCTTGGCAGCTTAGAGTCTGTGTGTGTCTGGAAAATGCTTAAGATTTATGTGTGTCTGGAAAAACGTGAAAGATAAGAAATGTGCCGCCAACCCATAATAATACATGATTCTGAATAAGATAAAGTAAGAGAAATGTAATTGAAGAGAAATACCATAACTTAAATAAGGCATGAAATGAAGCATATTCATGTGTGACTGAACATTCATATGTGCTGGAATTATTGACAAATTAAGTACTGCATAGAAAAGAAAAATAATGAAGTGATTTTTAAAGTTGCTTTAAATAATATATCTGGAAAAGTCAGATAGAGAGAGGGGTGAGGTGAAAAAGTGATACAGGGTTCTTCCCTTTGTCTTCTGCATGATGAGCAGTTCAGAAGATCGGACCTAAGATGTTGAAGATTCCAGCAGAGAACCCAGAGGGATCGACTGCTGGACTGTGAACCTGCAAACTGTTTTTGTATTTATTTTGGCTTTTTCTCTGCTCCTTTTTACCATGTTAGAATATTAATTCAAAAGGATTTGGATTTAACTTGTTTCCCGTTGATGTGTCTCCTAATGGGTCATACCTACATGGAAGAGATAAGGGCATCAGTGCTCAAGGCACGCTCATTCCCCCTAACCTCCTCCCTCACAAGGATTAAAACAAGGTCAGCATTAGCTCAGAGTTGGTTAATTAGAAAAGTATAATTCTGCCAATTTCAATATTATTTCGTGATTGTTATTAATTGATGCTTTGCTCTTGATAAATTGCTTTAATAAAATGTCCTGCAATTAAAATCTAAATTATAGACATTCCCATTTCAACCCTTTGTGAACGTGATGGCATCAGCCACACATGGGTAAATCAGTCCATTTGTTCACTTTATTAGTTTGTTTTGCAGTTTTCTTCATTGATATAATTCATTAATCATTTTATTTAAACCTAACACTGATATTATGAGGCGCGCACATAGTGGCATTGTGGGGTTTTTCTAAAAATGTTTTGTTATATTAATTATGTTTCTTTCTTTGAGTTACCTGGGTTTGGGCGATGGCTGTTTCCTGTCTGGGCAAAAGGTGTGGTTGAGGACTCTGGGAACAAAATGCCTGCTCAGCAGGACCAACCATGGGCTTACCAGGAGCAGGGGTGTTTTAGGTTTACTTGGGTTATTCTGTGCTTAGTTAATATTAGTGTGTATTTTTGTTTTCCCCCCTACTGTGTGTAAATGGTTTGGCCAAACCATTATAAAAGCTACCCTCTTTATAATTAGGCCAGTTTGTGAGTTAAACAAACAAAGTGAGACACAACTTAAGTTTCTGGAAATTACTTTTTGTAGATTTATATTCAGTTGACCTCTTTTATGGGCCTGCTAATTATGTTTTTGAATTTTGTCATTTTTGAAATTTTTGAGGGATAAAATAAAGAAAACGCTCTTGCTAAGCCTCTGCCTGAACATGTCAGCATTTGTTTAGGAAGTATGATTTTTAAAAATCTTAAGGCAAATGAACTTTTGGTAAAAACATAGGTTACTTAGTTTCTTGCTTTTTGTTGAATTGTACCAGCTAGCTTCTTACCTTGCAGTTGCTCTGGAGGTGTGCCTGTGTCTACTGTCTGCTTAGACTAGCATGTGTGCTCACCGCTCCACACCACAGCTACATCTGGGCAGGCCAGAGTTTAAGTGATTTGATATCTAAATAGTGATGCACTAGTTTTGTTGTTTATCGCAATTCTGAAACTGCTTAATGCTGATTACGATTTGGGGGTTTTAAAGGGCTAGAACATGAAGAAAAGTGCAAACACATCATGTGTGATTACTGTACACATTGTTAATGGTCAAGATTTCATCTATACAAATATTTAAATCTGAATACTTGGAGCTGCTTCATTCGACACGCTTAAGATGGCTTATCTAGAATTTGGCCAAGAAACAACAAATCACAGAGTTCCTTTATCACAGCTTTATTTCTGCTGTATCTCGTCTTCCATCTTCACATTATTGACAGTATATATCAAAAAAATCTGAAGCTGAGCTTGAACAGGTTAATCGTACCTAATCACACAAGCCATTACATCAGGGAAAAGTTAGAAAAGTTGAAGTTGAGGTTCATGAAATGCCCTAGTCAAAGCTCAGATTTGAAACTCACTGAAAATTTGCAAGTGGATTTGAAATAGGTAAAGCATGCAAGAAAGCATTTAGTATCTTGCAACTGGGGGGATCTGCGATGGTTTCGAGGATTGCTCTGTATTTATTTTTCATTCCTGTCAATATTTTTGTTGAATAAGTGAGTGACAAAGCAAACTGTCCTCGGGTTTTTGTCTTAGGTAAATCAATGTCTCAGTTTAGCTGAATTTTTATTCTTAAAGGCCAGTGTCGTGTTGCTCACTGGTGGACATTTCTCACCTGTTGAAATCAATGATGATGTCAGCATTCTCACTGGTTACTTCACTGAACCTGAGAGGAGTGACAGCACCCCACACACCAAACGCCTCCTGGAAAACACTCCGCACTTTGTCCTCACTCATCTGCCAGGGAAAACGTATGATCCTGGTTGGCACAAACACATTAATATCATGTTTTATCAAGCTTTAACATAAATTTAATATATATGTTCATGTGGTATGCTAGACTTCTTAAACTCTTGGAAAGAAACTGGTCCAAATCCATGTGGATCAATAGTATTAATCAGCATCGCTGCCTTTGGCTCGTCTCTGTCTATTTTTGATTTGCATATGATTGCTGGTGTTCTGTCCCTGGTAGGCCTAAGTGGATTCCCTTTGGAGTCTGTTGGGTTTTTATTTATTTATTTATTTATTTTTTATTGTGGTGTCCAAAGTGGTTAAAGCAGTGGTCTTGGGAATACATTCAAGGCCATTTTGGTTGCTTTTTCCAGGCTTATGAGTTTCAGTGCTTAACTAGCACCTGAAGACTAGGGAGGAGCTTCTTTTGATTCTGGTTAGGCAGTGAGAAGGATCGGCTGTGGTGAATTCTGTTGCTAAGCTTCTGCTTTTGGTCCTTCTGTGTCAGTTTTGTGTATTTGGGCAATAGAGTAGAGCTTTGTTTCTGTTAGCAATACCAATTAAAGGCATGCATGTTTTTCTGGGGAATAACTTGGTAGTTAGTCCACCACCCTCAACTGTGATGACTTGTACGTCAAGTTCAAGTTCCTTTTATTAGTACCCTTGTTCTTTATTTTGCAATTATGAAGTGGTACCCTGTTCAAACACAGGCACTAGTAAATCTGTACAAGCACCACACTTCTTTAAGACTACAAAGAGCTGTCATAAATAGGTAAATTCAGGTTTAAACAAAAAATTGAATAGCTTAAGAAACTGTATCTTATATAAAAAGACCTACCTTCTCTTCAGTTGTCTTCTTTTACCAGTCCCTACATTAAGAGTCCCTACTCTCACCTCCACACTCCATTCCTGCCTTTCTTTCTCTTGTGCTGCCTCCTAACATGCCTTCTTCCTTTCCTCTATGTTTGTCTTTGGCCACCAGCACCTTGTTGGCCACCAGCACTTGGGAGTGATATTAAGAGTGAACTGGTTTGTGGCCCATTTTTCAAACAGTAAATTTGAAAATTCATCAATAAAATACATTTCTTAGCAATAAAAAATATTATTCTGATTAAAGAGCTTGTGATTATTCGTGGATAAACCATTATAGGTGCTTTGTCTTTGATGTAAATATATAAAAATTGTGTGTGTTTCTGTTCTTTGTCTTGTGTACTGTTTGTTGTATATGTGTCTTTCTTGCTGCTGTTACACCCAAATTTCACCTTGTGGAACAATTATAGGATTATTCTATTCTGTTCTATAGAAACATAACAAGTTATTATGGTAATTGCCAATACTGTACATTTAGGGCAGCTATGGCATAAACCTCATACTGGTTGGTGATGTAATAAATTTGCTAAGCTTAACGTTCCAGTGCTTCCACCATTTATAAGATAGCTGCCAGTTCTTTTGACAAATGAAAACTAAAAACAAAGTCTTAATGTGAAACTAAACAAACATATTTGTTTCATTAGATCCCCATACTAAACTAAAACCATCAGCTTTGCGTTCCACTCCTGCAAATTATGGTCATGTAGGCAGCCATGTAACTCATCAGCAAAACAAACAAACAAGTCACTGTATTTAGAGACTTTTTAGTGTTTCTTACTTGTAAGTTAAGTCTGTCTTCTCCCATCGCCTGCCATAGAGCGCAAATCGCTTCCTGCGCTGCTGTCTACTCAGGGTGTCCCTTCTCTTTTTCACATTGTTGTATGTCATGCTGAGCTGCGTTAAGGTAGGATAATCTGGGACTCCACAGCGAGGACGATTCCACAAATCTGTGTCATTTGGGGACTTGAAATCGTACTCTTCATTAAGTGTGTCCTGTTCATGACTTGGCCTCTTCTTCAAACCGGCATGACTGTTGCTCCATCTCTGGGAGAAAGAAAACAGAGTCAGAGTACTTTTTAGTTTTAATAGATACATAAAGATGTAATGTTGGCTATATACCATTTCTGCCACCTTTCTACTGGTAAATTCCAGATTATCCTTGGCTTTTGACTTCATACACACTTCTTTGAAAGTAAATCATCACAAAATACTGATGCTGATGACATAACGTTCATAACATTCACACCCTCCTGGAGAGTTCAAAGTACCTTCTTTATACAAAATGCCTCATTTTGTGATGGGTGCATTCACCCATTATACAAGCACGTCTTTCTAAGTGCTTCCTGTCTAACATTCACACATATTCATACTCCAGTAGATGCATCAGAGTGCAATTTGGAGTTAGTGTCTCAATGCATGCTCAAACATCCAGGTAAGTAAATCCCAAAAGGTTGATTGATCAACAACCACTGATCAAAGCCATAGACCATTGATCACTGATCAAAGACTATTGATAAATGGCTATGAGTACCATTCACAGAGAGTTGAGGAATGGCTGCAAATACAGCATTTTAAGATGGAAAAAATCAAATCTCATGATGTACCACAATTCACGGATCGCATTAACTCGGTGGACCAACAGATCAAATTCACCAGGGGAGATATGAAAAGTGGCAGGTTAGCCTTCTTAGACTGTGAGATTTCCATCAGTAATGAGGGACAGTTAAAAGTTCATGTGTACCGGAAACCTACGCATACGAATCAGTATTTATGGTCTAACTCTCATCCACTGGAGCACAAACTGGGTGTCCTCAGGACGCTACAACACAAAGCGAACACCATCCCCAGACACAGCGGCCAGGGAAGCAGAAGAACATCACATCCAGAAGGCCCTGAGTAAATGTGGTTATCCCAGCTGGGCATTTGTCAAAACTGGTAAGGCATCTAAAGAAAGCTCCAGCTGATCCAGGAGAGAAGGACAACTGCTGCCTAAGTGAAAACCCTTAGTGATCCTTTATGTGTCAGGAGTATCGGAACAGTTGTTACAGTTGAACAGTCTAAACACCGGGTCTCTGTGGCTTTTAAACCTCAAAACATGCTGCACCAAAAATTGGTCCACCCCTAGGATCGAGTCCCCTGACACAAACAGAGTAACATAGTGTGCGCTGTTAAGTGCCAGGAGGATTGCCATGATTTTTACATCAGTAAACCAAACAACCTCTGGCGAAGCTGATGGCACAACACAGAAGAGCTAACTCGTCAAGCCAGGACTCCGCAGTCTATTTACACCTACAGGCCTGTGGACACTCTTTCAATGATGAGGATGTACACATCCTGGACAGGGAGGAACGCTGGTTTGAGCGCAGAGTCAAGGAGGCCATTTACGTGAAAAGGGAAATACCATCTCTGAATCAAGGAGGGGGCCTAAGGGTCCATCTTTCACCATCTTAGGCTACGTCCACACTAATGCATTTTCGTTTGAAAACGCATCGTTTTCTCTCCGTTTTGGCCTCCCGTCTACACTGAGACAGCGTTTTCCCCGAAGAAAAACCCAGCGTTTTGAAAACGCTCTTGAAAACAAATACATTTGAATACATTTGAAGACGGTGCTTTCGCGTCGCAGTGTGGACAGCGAAAACGGAGACTTTCGAAAACGCTGATGCATTTTAGTCATGTGACCAATTAAACAAAGATAGCTGAGGACATTATACAGCAGTTGTTTTGTTTGCTCTCAATTTTGACAGCACTATTAAAGATTAATATCAGTTTGTACATGTTTCAGATAGCTTTTCTTGAAATTCTTTAATTCTCACTTTGTACTTTTGTGTTACTTGCAGCAACAACTCCACCTCATTGTTAGTCCATTTAAAAAACTCGGTGCTTTTCCTCAACATTTTGCTGCGACATTTCAAAGAGCCGGAAAGTAAATAAACGGCAGACAGAAATGAGGCAGGTCGAATCTTCCTGCGCTTCAAGCATGCGCAGTACTGCAACGTAAACGTTTTCGGCCATTTCAATGTGGATGCACAACTCTGTGAAAATGACTGAAAACGCTAGTGTGGACACGGAGCGTTTTGAGACGAAAACGCCTTTTTCAAATCTATTCGGGCTAGTGTGGACATAGCCTTAAAATGCTGTGATTGCAGCCAATTCCCCAACTCTCTGTGAATGGTACTCATAGCCATTGAGCCATTGATCAGTGATCAATGGTCTTTAGCTTTGATCAGTGGTTGTTGATCAATAGTCATGACAATTTGCATATTAATGATCAAGGAACTGACCTCACAGGCCATTGTTCCTTCAGTGGGCTGGTTTCAGTCAACATGCAAATGTATTGTTTATAAGGTTGGGGAAACCTGCAGTCAGTTCAGACTGAAGAAGTCATTTGGATGAGTGACGTAACGTTTCTCAAACTGAAAACGTCACGTCCAGAATCAACCTTTTGGAATTTGTAGTTAGTATTTTTCTCAAGGATATTTGGAATGCAGACTGGAGCAGCCAGAGATCAAACCATCAGTCTTACGAGATGAACCTCCTGAGCTCCAGCCACCAAGGGCATCAGTGTATGAGCTTCAGCTCAGTTATCCATATGATGTTTGAAGTGTCATAAGTTGCTGCGCTGGGCGTCTGTCACACTCCTTCATTACATGCTGACGTCAGCTGCTGGCTCACTTGTGTTGGTTTTTGTTGTCTGATGTGAGGGATGTAAGTTGGCCCAGGCCAGCCTATGATTGTTGGTACAGTTCAGTTTCAGAGTTGCTGAGTGGCCTGTTTTTCACTGAGAAGACAGTTAGCTGTGCTAATATGCTGCCATGTGTAGTTTACGCTGATGTGACAAGGAAAGAAATCTGTCAGCAAGACTCTGGACATAAAATGTAATAAATAAATGTGTAAAATTGCGAATAAGGCAGAAAATTGCTATTATTAATGAAAGGATGAAAGTCAATTCAGTTTTTCACGTGAAGTGTACTTTTGGTCTACTTTTGCTGCTGGTTCAGTAAATTTTGATCGGAGTGATGAAACCTGCAGTTTGAAATTCTGTGAGGTGTTTGCTTTCAGCACCAAAGGTATGTCCATGTATATCAGGTGAACGGTGGGAATCCACGCATTGTGTTTACATCTTGCGCTTACTTGCTTTTTAATCATTTGCCGTTTCAGCTGTTTAGTGGTTGTTGAAATTACTTTGTGAGCTTTTAGCTGAGATTCTGATGTTTCTGTGGATACCACACATGTCTATATTTAAAAACACATCTTACAGTACATCCCATTAAACCAGATGTTTAATGGGATGTACTGTACGCCTCCAGTACCGGGAGCATTGGGGTTCAACAGGTTAATTGTTTATTGCTTAATTACGTTGTGTGGCATGAATGGCCATAAGGGAGGTTTTTGTCAGTAGGAAAAGCTGCAAAACTTATGAAAATACAGTTAAAAGTCCAACATTTCAGCTTGTGCTTGTTTGCGGTGAGCAACAGATCAAACAAGTCAAGAATTATACATTTCTTCAAGCACTGTAAAACTCATTTAGACGATCAGACACCCAATATCACTGAAATGCAGCCAGATGCTGCTCGTTTTACGTTTTCACTTGTTTTTTCACTTCTTCTGACATGCTTGCATTTAAATCCGGCTCCTCGTCTCCCTGTGTAGGCCATGTCCCTCAACTGTGAAAGGGTGGAGTGCTCACTCCGGATCAGGGATGAGTGCCTGCCTCAAGTGGAGGAATTTGTGTATTTCAGGGTCTTCTTCACAAGCAAGGTGAGAAGAGAGTGGGAGATTGGCAGGTGGATTATATCAATTGCAGATACTGAGAGAAGCTGTTACTATACCAGTCAATCTGTCCCCGCGCTCACCTATAGTCGTGAGCTGTGGGTAGTGACTGAAAGAATGAAACTGCAGATGCAAGCTGCATAAATGAGCCTTCTCTGAAGTTTGGCTGGCCTCTCTCTTAGTGACAGGGTGAGGACTTAAGTCAGAGAGCTACTGTTTCTCCACATAACAAGGAGCCAGTTGAAGTGGTTCGCGGATCTGACAAGGACGCCTCCTGGGTGAGGTGTTCCAGGATGTAATAGGATGCATTGGAGAGAAATACGTCTTAGCTGACTTGGGAATGGCTCAGTGCTACCCCGGAAGAGCTGGAGGACGTGGCTGGGGATGGGGAGGTATGGACTTCTCTGCTTAAGTTAGAAAATGGATGGAAAGATAGACTCACATACTTTCCCTGTCAATTCTGAAGCTACATTGATCTACATTGCTTTTTGGTACTCTAGCAGAGTCCAAGTATAAAAGTATGAATCTTGAATTGAACAGCAGTTCAGCTTTGTTCAGCAGTGCTGAACCACCGCCACTGCTTTAGACCTTTACTTTACAAAAGACCTTGTTGTTTTTGGTTTTTGAGGCTCACTCACAGCAAGCAAAGCTGTTAATCATCAACATCAAATGTCAGGTCTTAATCCGTTTACTATACATTCAAAAACTTTGCAGCTTTAATTGTGCTATTTGATTTTAAACTTATAAAGGCCATTCAATAACATAGAGACCATTTAATTCCACCTTACACTGGGTGGAGAGCACTTACTAACATGACGGAGGTTGACTGAACTTAATTCTTAAACTGACCCTTTGTCTTATAAATCAGAATGTCCCTATTTGCTTTGCACAACAAATAGCATTTGTGTTTGTCTTTGCTAACAGATTAATGGCTGCTAGGGCTTTCCTGCTATAGGTTCATACATCATAACTTTAATCTGACAGGCAATTTTTTACAGTAGTTCAATCCACTGAAACTGTGGGAAGTGGAACAACAGTTGAAGACTGCAATCATGTCTTCCATTACTAATATACTAAAATGTAACTGAAGATAAGGATTCACTACCCCTATTTGGAATTCAGTCATTTTTACCTCATGCCTTATTCGCACATCAGTCTATCGTTGTATAGTGTTGTTGGCCACAGTTTTGTTTTTTTCCCAAAAGATGCCCTTTGACGAGAAAGCCTATTTTGTTCCATTCAATACCCAAGAAATTTCAGTTTTCACAAATTTCAGCAAATTAGAAAAATGCTTAGCTATGTGTCTACTAATAAAACCTCTGTAATTTTGTGAAAAACTGAAAAGTTTCTATTTTCTATTTTCTACTATAGAAATTTCAGTTTTTTTACAACTACAAAAAACAAACAAACGGGACCATCTTAACAATGAGCAACCAAAACTTTTTCTGAAATTTTACACATTTATTTCTTACATTTTAAGTCCAAAGAGTCATGGTCACAGTTTCTTTCCTTGACACAGCAGCTTTTTCTTCATCGTGTAGAAAAAAAGTTAAATATGTAACTTCTTTATACTGACAAAAAGGGGATTTTCACTGGTCCAGCCTGCTTAAAATGCTTTAAACTCTTAAAATGAGTTTGGCACCCCAGGCTTAACAGTTTGAACAATGCTGAAGCCAGAGCCATGCGGAGCTAGCAGATCGTTCAATTTAGGATGAGTTGAGTGACAAAACTATAGTTTGTTCTGTAAGTATGTTGGCAATGAGTACAGGTTTGCTTAAAAGGCATAACACAGAGTCACAAGCCACTAAAAGAAAGAATTGTGTATGCTTGGGAATCCTGCCGATGGGGCCAACATGTCCGCACAGGATAGTGTGATTCCTGCTTCCCAAATCAGTGTGCCTGAGATACAAGCCATGTGTACTGCTGGGCCCATCTGCAGAAAGGAGCATCATAGTTTTATCTAATAGGTGGTTACACTGAGGACTCTTTGTTGATGATGTTCAAACATGCAACTACACGTATATGTACAAGTATGAACCTGCACACAGAAAAAATGTGCACGCACACAGATGAAAATGTGTTCATCAAAGCTACAAAAAGCTGCATCACACACAGTGAGCAGATGTCTGGAAATTCCCTCTTCAGTCATGACATCAGGTCACCTGCACTATAATACCGGGGGTGTTTTATGGGAGGTTGTTAAGGGTGGTAATCTAAACATTAGCGAGAATTATCATTTTTACAGTGACAGAAAAAACAAGCAGGACTTGATTCAACTCCCTTTTAAACACATGCTGTGAGATATCCCACAGATATCCCTTGGCAGATAAAAAGTAGCCAAACTTTAGATAAATGATGCACATAGTGGGAGCAATTTCTCCAGGGTAAATATTTAACTACAAAAAGTCCTGAATATCAGCAGGCTGTAAGTGTTTTGCACACAGAGAGCTGACTGTGCTAAGTGTGGGGAATGTTTGCAGGATGAAGGGTATTAGCATGAATAGAGATGAGAGGCTGCTTCTCCAAGGTAAACATCTATCAGTAAACCTTCAGTCAACAAGCCCCATCATACTCCAGATAACATCAGCTTTTCCATAGGAACCTTTGAAAACATTGCAGTTTCTGTGTGTTGTGGTTTCCAATATGAATGGTTAGTTTTCTCTGTCCTTTGTGTTTTTGAAGGTTTTCCCCTCTTCTGTTCTTTCTGTGTGCCTGCGTCTGCCTTTCTCTCAAATCCTTCTTAGGTTACTTCCTGTATTATTTTAAAACTATTTTGATTATTACATATTTCTGTCTGATTGACCTGATTGTTGCCCTATTACCCCTCTCTCCCCGGTGTCTATTTAGTGCATGTCTTTTCCCTCATTTTTTGATGCACTTCCCTCACATGCCTCCATCGTGCTTGTTTCTCCTGTGTGATCCGTGCTTTTTTGGATAGTTTTTTTTTTTTATTGGACTTTCCTGGCTCACTACACAGGGCCTGTCATTAAACCAGTCATTTGTTGTTTTTATTTCCCCCCCATGTACTTGCAAATCTCTGTTGTCTGTATATTGGATGATCTTGTAAAATAGACCTTAACAAACTTCAGCAGATTTTAACCTTTTGTCCTCATCCCACACTGTTTTAGGTCACTCTTTTGGCCATGTGTGGACAGGGGAAAACTCAGACGTTTGGAAACAATCGAGCAGGCATACAGTTTGCTTTTTGATTAGATTTTATCGGTCCCAAACTCCTTTGTTCAGGGTGGAAATTTATGAGCGTATCACGCAGACCCTGCCGATTTCCTTTGATAAAAGTCCCCATCCATAATTGAGGATGTAGGGCAGAGTGATTTCATTTGAAAACAGTTTCCAGATAAAAGTGCATAAGTGTGATTATAGAAACAGTGTCTCCAGCAGTGAAAGTATTTGGGTCTGTGATTGGCTCAATACCAAAATAAAACTACTTCTCTATGTCTTGCATTCAGAATACCATTATAATATATTATCCAGATGATATATTATCATGAGTAGCAAAAATACTAGAAGTGTCTAAAATGAGAGGTACTGTAATACAATGAGCAACTTTTTTCAGTTCTTGAAGTTAGACTTAGTTTTAGCTACTTTATAAGCTCCATCCAGTGTATACCCAGCTCAGCAAAAGCTTTTCTTATTTTTTCCAAGAGTCCAAATTGATGTGTTCAAATGTCTTGTTTTGACTAACCAAAATAGTGCACCTCTCTCACCAAGGAAACAATTAACAAGTCCATTTTTAACAGTCAACAAATCAAATCATTTCGGTTCTGGTCGAGGTTACTTGAAAATCTCAAATAAATCTAGAGTACAGAGTAATGGAGGGAAAAATAAATTTAATTCATAAGTTTAAAGCTAAATTTACATTTACAACTATGTTTTCTTGTTTTCTTTTGTCCTTTCAGCTTCTAACATTCTAACATCTTCTGAACTTTTTGGTGAAAGACCTCTAAAACATGTCAAGAGGCCCAAACAAGACATGGCTTCAAAGGCCACAAGCCAAACAGCACGATTATCCCACCTAAACTGCCTCTTAAAATATGTGAGTGAAAACAACGTGATAGTACAGCCAACTTAAGATTATGCAGTGCATAAAATGGACAACAATATTGCTTGTTTTTATAGATGCACACTCTGGTCTGACGCGTCTGAACAAGCTAAGTTTCTGCAGTTAAAAACACAGACATTTCCTGTGTGTTGCGTTTTACATCATTGTTAGAGGAGTATGAACCACAGAGCTGTCTTTGTCGTCTCCAGGTTTTCATATTGTGAAAAAGTACATGTTTGAAGGTTTCAGATGACCTATTCTGCTCAACTTTTACCTCATTTTTATTCTCAGACATCATATACCGGTATACAAGGCATTTGTGTAGCTATTCTGTCTCAAACTTTTATTCTTTTATTTCACTTTAATCAGTTTTCTTCTGATTAGATGTTCCTCATAAACAGAAGATTTGAACATAATGTGGAGAGTTTGTCTTTCTGTCTAAACCTGAAGACATGTTCTTCAGTGTTGAAGCAGCTAAACACTTACTAACAGCAATGATTGCTGATGGTTGGTTGCTATTTTAATGTGGCTTTTTAACAATTGTGTCAGTCTCCAAAAATACTTGCACTTAACTGTAACTGTATACATTTGAATGAAGACCTTTTTTCGTTAACCAGACTCAAACACATGTAAACTAATGTGTTTACATGATCATAACAAAGAATATTAGAGCATAAGATGTTACGTTGGATAGTCAGGGAACTACACAAAAACTGCAATTATAAGTATCACTAAAGTGGATTTTGGTATATTAATCTACTTTCATAAACTGTGACTAAAAAAAAAACATCTTTAAAAAAAACTTTTCATTATTTTTAAAGTTGAGCTTTTGCCTTGACTGTTATGAGCAACAGCACCTTTTCTGGTTAACAGGGTTTGTATAAAATGCTAGTATTTGACTTAATGGTTCTGCTGCTTAACCTGCAGATAAACAGATTAATTCATCATTGACAGTCCAGAAGGAAGCCTCCCACACAAAAGAATGCCAGGGACTGATTGTTTGTTAGTAACATGAATCTGTCACAAGCAGCAGGTCTGCTTCAGCTATTATGATTAGTCACTGGACTCAAGGAATGAATGCCAGACAGCTGCACAGGGTCCTTTTTGCCAGGGTTCCTGTGTGTGGACACTTAAAGCTTACAAACAAGTCTTGGTGGTGTTACTCTGCTGCACACTGCCTGTTTACCTCGTGTTTCTGTCTTTAAGTAGTTATCTGCGGTTTTTCCCCTGAGTCAGCAAATAAGTAGCGTTTGCACCGGAGTTACCAGGTGCATGCCTCTGCCTGCATAATCTGACTCTCACTCACCGGAAAGCAGCTCTGGCACCCTCCAGGGTACAGTACACAGTAACAACAATAAAACTTCTTTTTTTTTTCTTTTTCTTTTTTTTAATCCTTCACAAACAGGACCAGCCGTGTTATTCCAAAACAGAAACACCACACTGGTAATCTGAAGATGCTATAACTATGAAAATCATAGTTCCCTGAGTCAGTTGTGACAGAAACTCATGATAGTTCACATCTCACAAATCTCAGCTGTTCAACCATCAACAGCTTTCAGTGAGAACATTGATGTCTTTAAGGGCAGCGCATGCAGAAACGTTAAGGTATGCAGAACAACAAAGGAACTTACAGCAGCATCCCTAAAATGAGTGGATGCGACGACACATGCAGCACAGTTTTGAACACACACACACATTAGAAATATCAGGTAACTTTAACATGTTTAATTCATTTATTCATGTCAACTTCTGTATTACTGGATGTTTGTTCACCATTGCATATGTGAACACTTTCCCGTTCATAAGGATCTCTGAAAAGTGCATTTACGCTTTGACTCACCTGCAGCTGCTTGGCGGTCCTGTGGTCGTGTACCGGCAGAGAACAGACGCAGAGGAAAAGGTACAAAGGCAGGATGCTGCCGTAAAACACGGCACCTCGCAGCATCTTTTCAACGCTGTGACGGCGACCATGCAACAGAGCGGACGCAGGAACTGCGTGGATGGAGTGAATGAATGTCGGCCCCGGTGTCTTTGTCCTACTCAGGTAACAGGTTTACTACACACGTGATTTAACCCCTTACACTCCCAGCGGTGCAACTCATGGGTTTCGCAAACTGCTGTAGTCTGTAAATCAAAGCGAGTATAAGGACCACTGGGAGGTCTTTTGGATTCTTTTTTTCCGGAATTCTAAGAAAAAAAATCTGCATTTGGGTTTGTTTGTTTTCTGAATTCTGGAAGAAAAACAAAATCCAAAAAACGCTCACATTTGTTCCTCTCTCCGGTCGCCCCAGTCCTCTTCCGTAGCACTCGGACTGTAGATTCAGAAAGAAGGGAAACCTGTGCGTCAGAAATGTCGAATCCTTCGTTCTTTTGGATTTTCTCTGGAAAAATGTGCAATTTCTCCCGCTTTTGGTGGAAATCATTTATGTAAAGACATTCTTTATTACTCTCAGATATTTTTTCAGCTTCTTCCTTAATGCTTTTCAGACACAACACGCATATGGTTATGATTTACTTGTCTGCCTTCTTTTGGTCCAGAGGAGGACGTAACTGTTCGGTCTTTTCTCTGTTAGTAGGAGCAAATGTGCGTGTGTCACACCAGCAATGCATTCCCTTAAAATTATGAACCATTGGTCTATAATAGCTCAGATGTTTGCACATGTTCAAAACTTTATTCCTTTCTGCAAAAAGTTTAACGAATAAATGTGCGTTCCAAATATGTTTCAAATGCATGTTCTCCCAAATCTGAGCAGTAAAACTAACAAACGGAAATCAGTGACATGAACCATTTCTCTTGTTTGCAAGTATATATCTCGCTACGATTTTTTTCATCGCGGAAAAAATGTCTTTTGAGGATTTATGGATTCATTTTATTATTGTAAAACAAATATCCAGGATCTCAATTTAATAATCATTTAAATCCTTCAGATTTGAATATTTACTTAAAGAGGGTGCACCTTAAATTCTTAAATCTTACCATAACCTGGTTTAAGTTGTTATAATCACGTATTTAACAGTTGCTTTAAACTAGAAATAGCATTGACATTTCAATATATTTCTGGGGTTTAATGGTGAATTAAATCAAAACTACTGTACTTAACTACAAGGAAATTACATTCAAGATTCAAGATTGTTTCAAACAAGTAATTTGTTAAGGAACAGCTGATTAGATCAAAGAAAAAAAAATGTTTTAAGGACTGGAACATATTTGCTGTTCAAGCCATCTGTTCATCACAAATCTTCCTGCAGCAGACTGAATTACCTGCAGCACTGCTGGTGAGTGGAAAATGTCTGTCTCCCGTCCAGGTTTCCCTTTGTGTTGCTCATCTAACTTTGATGCATCTGTGACTCATTTTATGGATATAGGTGTACTGTCTGAAAGGGACACTGTAGGCTAATAATATAAGACTGTCTCATAGTTACAGGACTGGAAATGTCTGACTGCTAATTGCACATTTACAGAAACAGTTCATCATGCACCAACGCATGCACTGACATTTGATTGTGTTCGGTTTAAAAGAGTGAGGACATTGTCTAATTACTGTTTGGTTGGAGTAACACTAGAATTACTGAGCCTTTTTTTCCGCTGGTGCAAGTCCCTACTACTAGATTTACTAGTCCTGCGCAAATTTGCGTAAATTCCCCAGACCCTAACACCTCTTGGCACCCCGCTGAGATTTTCACAGGCCTTCAGCTCCATTGTTCTCCAGCTTTTGTTGAGCAAACACACCCTCCTCCAACCCCCAACCATGAGAGATTCAGGTCTTTCCTTCCCTGCAAGGCTACTTTCCTTCCTTACCTGCAGCGTACAATACACCATGGTAGTTTCTATGTGCAATATTTCTCATATGCAATATTAGTTTTTGTCAATCCTTGTCACTACATTGCATGCCTGTCCATAAACATATATACGAGTTGTACACATATTTAAATAGCCACACCTTAATGAGAGGTTCAGTCTGTACCAGCTACATCTCACATTTGCTAATTTACACACTGAACGTTAATATTAAGCACCCATTTCCAAACTACTAAATTATTAACTTGGCGTACAAGTTTCACATCTTCATGATATTATATTACATATTCATGTCACATATTCATGTGACAAACTTAATGTTTGTCACATGAATACGTTAGCTTCTTGTTCAAATGAACAGTTTTCTATTGGCCTAGGTGGAAATGTCTGGTTGAAAACAACAGTCAGGCAGGTGCAGATTCCATTCAAATAAATGAATACGAATCTTTATTTAAAGGTGAGCCTACAAACCCAGACAACAACAAATGAGAATGTACAAAGAGGCCACACTGGCAGAAAACAATACAAACAGTATTATGCAACAAAGGGAAACTGAGGGCTTAAATACAGACATGTGGTAATCAGGGAGAAGGAACACACCAGGGGACACAGCCGAACAAAATCAGGGGAAAAAGGCAGAGGGACACAAAACTGAACAACACAAGACGAAGACTAATAAAATAAAACAGGAAGTAACAAAAGATAGAATCACAAATGGGGAAGATGACTTGGCAAGGAATGGAGAGCACAGGGAAAGGTCGATAAATGAAATAAGGGCATTAATACAAACCAACAAATGTCAAGAATATAACCCAGCAAATCATGATATTAAGCACAGACACATAAATTATCACTCTAAGGAAAAACCAGAAATACCAAATACAAATGAGAACACAACCTACGCTAAAATATAATATTAGATACACTTAAAACTAGGGATGGGTACCGGTGTCCGGTTCTGACATAAACGGTAGTAACCAGACCGAAAAGCAGCGCACATTTCGGTGCTTTATTTCGGTGCTTTTTTTTCCTGAGCTGTGATACACTTTAGATTCTAGCCAATCATTTTACGTTTCCGAGGATAGTAGGCGGGGCCAGGTACGTACGTACGTTCTGTTAAAGCAGAGCTACAGATTAAAAATGCCCAAGGCGAAGCGGTTAAAAGTCTGGCTGTACTTCACAGCAAAATATGGAAACTCAGCAGCAACAAGTGCTTTAAGCTGATACTGTGATACTGTCAAAGGAGGTAACACCTCAAATCCGATGAAACAGCTGGCGACGCATAGCGTTTTTTTTAAAAGCCCAGAAATGCGCCGTATTTGATAGCTTGCTGCGAGACCTCACACCGAGCGCATCTACTGTGGGCGGGTTGCCTGTTATGCAACATCCCCCAAAAACACGAAGAAGAGAGTCCTGGCCCCTAGCCCTGCCAGTGTAGCAGAAATGATGACGGATGATGGTGGCAGCAGCCGTTCTTCTCTGCGTGAGTAGCTAATTTACGTTGAGTAGGCTAACCACGTCATTACATTAATGCATGTAAGGTGAACTAGCAAACATCATCATAGCTACATGCAGCTGTCTTCTTGTTTGATGGCAGATACTCCCTTCACCCTGGCTAAAAAGGCTAAAATGACCAAAGAAAAAGTGGGAAACAGTTAAACATGAGAGGTTTAGGACAAAGTTTGTGTTTTTTCCATTGTTTAAGCACTGCTTCCAGCCAAGAGTGATACCATATATGCCCCATAGCTGCAGAAAAGGCTAACATTGTTATCTTTTTACAAAAAACAGCTGAACATGAGAGGTTTTTGGACCAATTTTGTGTTCTCAATTCTTTAAGCACCGGTTTGAGCACCGTTTGAGCACCGGCACCGTTTCAAAAGTACCGATTTGGCACCGGTATCGGATAAAACCTAAACGATACCCATCCCTACTCAAAACAGAAAAACTACAACAAACCAGGTCAAACAGAGTATATCAAACAGAAACTGAAAGTCCAAAACTGAAAACACTAGGTCCAAAACCCAATATCATGCAGTACCCCACCACCCACCCACTGTCCCACTGTTCAGGGAGAGATGCCAATGCTGGCAACTCAGTTCAGCAGGTCTGCCAGCAGGCAGATGGATGTGATGATGGAACTCTCGGTGCCGGCATCAGAGACAGAGCAGATCAGGGGGTATGGCCAGGTGGCCTCAACGGGTTGAGGAACAAAACCAGAAACTTTGAGATGTTATAGGTGACCTAGTTGATCATACAGACAATTGGTCTTAAAGGTAAACCACACAAACTTGGTGTAGATTAAGTATTTTCGTCACTGAGCACTGACCTCACAGCCCATTGTTCATTCAGTGGTGCTTGTTTCAGTAATTGTGCAAAGGTACTGTTTATAAGGTTGGGGAAACCTGCAGTCAAGTGAGACTGAAGAAGTCACTGACTGAACTGTCGAAACGTTTCTCAAACCGAAAACGTCCAGATGAACAGAATCAACTTTTGGGGATTTACTTACTTGGATGATTGAGCGCATCAAGACATTCAGGATGGTTGTTTGAACCATTTATAGTTCAAACAAGGCCAAAAAGGACAAACTGCCCTTATAAGAGCAAACAATGTAAATGTTTACACTCAGATAAGCAGCATGGACATTGTTGTTGTAAAAACAAATACAGCTAATTTCAAGATGATTTCTGCAGTGTATTGCTCTCATTAATTATTTATTTCTTTATCTTTTTTTAAAAATGATTTCTTTTATATTAAAACTTTATTTGTATCTTTTAGTTGTTATATTGTTTTATTATTGTGTAATTAATATTTTTTGTTTTTGTTTATAGATTTATTTGCTGTGCAGTACTTTGGTCGAAGTCTGTGTTTACATGTGCTACATAAACAAACCTTTTTTTACTTTTTAAAAGTAAATTTAATATCTTAATAAATGTAACTTTTACAATCTACAAAGCTAAGTGAAATACACATTTTATGTAAAATCACTTCTGAACACTCAATTTGGAAAATTCTAAACAGGAAAATTTCCATGTTTTGTTTTGTGCAACCTAAGGATTTTACAATTGTGTGTAAGAAGGTTACAGTTTATTAGTTTATAAGTTTTGTGGTGTTTTCGTTGTCATCCTTATTGACCTACTGTCTTTTGAGATTTCTCTCTCTTGATTTGTTCCAAGTGCAGATCTATTAGATATAAAAGATTTTTATGTAATGCTACATGTAAAAACCCATGTTACAGTTGATTTAACCACAAATTAACAATAGATTATTGCAAATGTAAACCTGGTTACTAGTTTTACATCAGTATTTTGTCTTTTCTGGTGGCTGGTATCATACATTTTAACTTCTCTGAAATTGTGTGTAAGAAGGTTACAGTTTATTAGTTTATAAGTGTAATGTTGACTCGTTATCTTTGTGTTTTCTCCTCTGATGTATTCAGGCTAAAAGAGTCTTCCAGAAGCCCAGCACACATTTTAATGATTTCACGTGGCTCCAAGTGTGAATGTGATTAACATGAAATATCAACCTTTATTTTTAGCTATAGAATAGAATACCTTTAGTTGTAATGTTACAGGTGTACAGCAAAATGTCAAGCATTTCCCTGAGTTGAATACATTTAAGGCACGTTAAAAAAATCAAGCAAGTGCTTTTATATTATATATAAATTAAAAAT